TCATTAAAGTTCATTAGCATAATTCATTAAAAAGTGTAATGATTTTAGAATATAAATGGATTAAGAAGTTTAATTAGGTTCTTCATAATTTGTGCTACATTGTAATCTTGCTGGAAATGGTGGTGAACTTGAAATGTAGGCATTTCTTCATCGTTGGCTTCATTGAGAAGTCTCATAGCCATCTTACGCAAAGCTGCGGCCGCGAGACCTTCACAGTGTTCTTTTGTTGTCAAGTTCTGTAAAAGGTGTTAATTAAATCAACTGCTTAATACTGTTGCTGTTTAATTTGTCGGTTGAAATTTAGTCCTGAATAACATTAAAGACGATGTAACGTTACGCAGCTTTTATTACTTTTAACTTGAAAGTTCACTCAAATGACGTACAATTGGAACTGTGAAAGTGTAGGAGAAAAAACTGTAAGGAACAACTTACATAATTATACCAATCATTATTTAGCTGAAGTTCATTTTGTAAGACGTTTACAGCTTCTTCCACTTCTTTTTCATTGCTTTTTAAAACCCTTAACAGGATAAAATTAAAAATTTTTAATGCAAGGCTACAATAGGTGTCGCATAGCACATAGTGAAAACAAAAGAAAATATTAAATGACATTTAAGGAATAAAAGAATTTTGTAGGATTTTTTGTAAAACTCAGACAGGTTCTATGGAATGTTACTTATGCTATACAAAAAGAGGTAAACATGCGTAATTGCGCATCATCAAATTAAAGCCTATTGAAGCAAAGTGCAACAAGCTTTCGGGATTCTTCCTTTCTTCTCGTTTTGGAAAAGTTCTTTTCTTTGTACCTTCTAGTAAAGGCTTTGTTTGTTCGTTGATTTGCATGTTGCTTTTTTTGCAAAGGCTAGGGAGGAGTTTGGTTCAACGGAATCACTGTTTGTGTTGTTTTGCTACAAGCGTGTTGTTCAGAAGCTTTCCTTTATTGTTGTTAATTCGATTACTATCAGTGATTGCTTGTATTTGAAATTGTATATATCTGTGGAGCAACTCACGAAGTGGCAAGTCACCGACTCGTATTATTGTTTGTAAAGTTAAATAAAGTCTTGTAATTTTTAAGTGTTGAGACAAGAGGTTATTGAGACAGTGTAGGCACTAAGTATTTATACAGAGAGTTTTAATAGGAGCTACGAGGTAACTCACGTGCTTGAGGAGGGTTTAGAAATCTTTTTTATATTTTATACTTTTTATTTTTATAAGAAAATATTTCCACTATTTTACCTCTTGTTTCTCAACAATATTTTGAGAGTATATTAGTTGAGTCGTTCTTGGCTGACATACCTTCCAGTAAAGTAGCTTGAAGTTTCTGGTGCCAACCATGGCCGAGACCTAACGCCTCCAATAGCTACTTGTGCACTGGTTACCAAAATTTCACGTTCGTTCAGTTTCACATTAAATTTCCCAACGGCATTTAGAAGCGTGCTGTCGCCACCGTGTAGCTTTCCAAACTTATAAGCAAACAACTTTGTTTCCTAAAAATCACTATGATGTTCCTTGGTTGGTCGGCACTTTGTGTAGGCTAATACAGCGTTTAAAATTTTTTAACCTATCAGGATATAATATTCTGAGCGGATCACCTGTTCAGGAATTTTAAAAGTAATTTTTGCTACAAATTCATCAGGTAACAGAGTATTCTTTGTTCCAACTTCTCGGAAAAAATTATTTGTAAGCGGCACAGATCGTTCGTTTAAATTGTTTAAATTTACAGCAGTTATCTGCGCTTCCATTGCTAAGGCAAAACAACAGAAGTCACTATTTGCACTTCTGGAACACAACGAACCAGCCCAGCTCTAAAAATTCTGGCCATCTTATTCAAAGTAACTACTAGCTCCTCTTTCTTCAATGCAATAGTACTTTAAAAGAAAAGTTAGCGGTAAAGCAGTTCTATACCGCGATATTTCGCACTTGTGTGGAAGAATATTTTTCAAACAAAGTTACTGCATCTTTGAAAACATCTGTTTTCATGTTATCGTCATAGGTTTTTAAAGATTCGACGAAATCCGTTAACGACAATCCTGCAAAAACTGTCATTTTTTTTGAAAACTAAAATTTTTTGTTCTAAATCGTACCTGCGCCAAGCACTAATTCATTTTTCACATCACTCTTGAATTTCAATTCGTCTATACGATGTATGGTAATCCACACCTGAGGATCCTTGATGTTCTTCAATGAAGTAACTAAATTGCAGAACAGTAATGTACGAGAAAACGGCATGAACCGCTGCAACTGATGCATCTGGTGCGGCAGTTAGTGGTTTTTACCGTTGATTAATAATTTAAGAATTAATTATTGATAATAGAATAAACCTAGACGAGTAATTAGGCCCGATGTTATAATTCTTGGTTTCTTATCCTTTTTTTGCTCATAAACCTCTTTTAACATTTCCATTGAAGAAGGAACCGCAACTGTGGTCCTCTTCCCTTGAAGTAACAATGTGTCATCAACTACGGTACTTTTGGCTTTCACCTGTAATCATTTACATGAAACTGCTAGACAACGCAGCGAAGCAACTAAATTGTGATGTAGATGGTAAGTTGTTGCTGCGTTTATGCGATGCATGAGCATATTTAAACTTCAAATTAACCATCAATTTCGGTGGGAATATAATTTCTTGGCTTTGGTCGTATTGTGGTGAGTCAGTGAAGTGGGCAAGCGAATTTGTTCTATTCGGCTGAATATTTTCTTGCTTCGCCTTACAGGGGCAACTTTCTGAGTTTCCACCGCAACAATTTCCTCCGCCAAACGAATGGAATGACTCAATGACTGGTCTGTAGCCTGTACAGCGACACAAATTTCCTAGAAATATGCATTCTGCTCTTTAACAAGAAACTTATCATACATTTTGGAATGGTAGAGGCAGCGCAAGAGACGGTAACGTAAATTTGAATAAGAAGCTTGATTTAACACTTTCAGACGGTCTTGGGTTTTAGATTCCAATATCAATTGGATAAAAGTTGAGCAACCTCTTATAGCTTCATCAATTTCACGATCGGATGGTAATGGATTATTTCGCAGTAGAGCGTACAGTGACATTACGAATCCAGGCGAACAGAAGCCGCACTGAGTACCATGGCCAGATGCTAATCTCTGCTGTATTACGTGCATCTGTCCTACCTTCCCAATTCCTTAATTTTTAAATGGAAATTTTGAAGGAGACAAAGAAATGTTCATATGTTTAATGTACATGCAGAGCAGAACGATAAGAAGCAAAGGTTTTTTAGCCCTAAAGTAGTCTCTGCTAACGGCAACTTTTTTTATACCATAGTTCGTCAACCAAAGGATTTTATTCAGTCATTAAGGTAAAGTAATAACCGCATAATCTTACCTTCTACTGTTAAGACGCTGCAATCTTCAACTAAAAACAGCGGCGTTACACAGGCATTAACGGCACGATATCTGAACAAATGTAAAATTTTTATATTGCAATTTTGGTTTTAAATTTTCTTCAAATTTAAAACTGAGGCAACTGCTTTTTAGGCAACTTCTGAAATTTAAAGAGCTGTCAGATTATTTTAGTTTGACTGAGCGTTAAATTTATTAAATTTTTTTTCATTTTTAAGCTAAAATGTTGCGGGTAATGCAATTTAAGTTGAAGTAGAGAAAAATGTACATTGGTTTCTGATGTATTTTGCTATAGAAAGCAACTGCTACTGTACATGCTCCACAAACTCCTTCTTCGCAAGCCAACTTGCATCCCGTTAATTTGACTGAAGAATAGATTTTATCAATAAGCTTCAAAAAACAGAAGCCAGAAGGGTGTAAAAGAAGATGATAATTTTTTTGGTTAATTTTATTCCTGGCAAACACGATCATTTTAATCAAAATGCAAATTCCACCATCCTTTTATAGCTCTAAAACCCTATCTTCCACAAGTTTTATTCGTCTTTAGCAGTGCTCCTTGATCATATTCGATCAACCGTGTCTGATAAAGCTAGTAATGAGAAAAATGGAAACGTGATACAATCTTAAAGCTATAAACTCGTTTAATGCTTACGAAATCCACGACAATTTTTAGTTTCAGATTGAGACTTCTATTCCAGTGTGTTCGTTTTGAAAAGCTTTAAATTATAGGACTACTGCCTTCCCGAGCTAAGGGGAACTGCGGTCAGTCTATTTTGTCGACACATCCTACCCACTTTTGATCGCCTTGTACCACCAAAACAGCATAGCATAGTCAAGTCAGAAGGTAAATTAGAGCGTATAATGGCATAACTGAACGGAAGAACAGAAAATCTTGAGTATTTCCGTATAAGACAGTGTAAAAGTGAAAGATTTTAAAACGTCGTACTTGATAAGGTCATTTATAGCTGGGACTGACGATATAAAAGTGTTCAAGACGATTAACTTGAGTTACGAGGACAAACTACTTTTTTCAAATTTTGTAACGCCCCAAAAAAAGGATGTTACAGGCAGCGGTTTCGTTCGTATAGTAACCAGAAAAGAATACTGTTTAGGAAGGAATTTGGGTTTTGCCTCATCTTTTAAGAGGATTTTTTACCAAAAAATTTCAGTTTCTTTCTCTTTTTTCAACAGTGACAGAAAGTGGGGACGCTTTTGAAATAGAACGAGATAGAAAATAGTTAAATAAAAAGTTTGCCTTCGTACTGTAGTAGGCATACTTTTAAAGCCAATATCTGTAAGAGACATCTTTTATAGCCAAAGCATTGTACGTTTGAAGTACTAAAGTTTAGTTATTTGATCGATGACTGGCCAAGTTCGCAAAATAACTCGTTTTCCTAGTTGCTTTTCCAATAATCAATTTTTGATTGGAATTTTTAGTTCCTTTGGTAACCAACGCTTTGGTTTATCATTCATAGGGTTTACTTATTGTTGCTTTGATCTTCCATCATGAACAACTGAATTCTGATGTAAACTGCACTTCTGATTCTTACGGGTTTTAGAGCACTTTCATATCTCAAGTTTTTATTTCTCATTTATAATACTATAAGCAAGATTTAGTAACGAACTAGTCTATTGATTTTTCGATTTGAGTCTATTTCGCAAAAAAGCGAAGCAGATAAATACGTTGTAGCTGACTAGCAAAAACTGCCTGCAAAAAACTTATTGTACCTTTCGTAGTTATAAAATCAAGTATATTTCTGAGAATTTCTAGTGTATAGTTGCTACTCTAGTGTTACAGTTTCATAACTGTCAAAAACTCATCAAGCCTTTGACAAATCAACATTGACAACTCGTCAAAGGTAATCCCATTTTTTTAATATGAATCATATGAAGGCAATAAAGTTAAGTTTAGCAGTAAATTCGTTATCACACCATTCCAAGAAGAGAGCGAAAAAAATTGCATTTGCTATACAGGTTCCCTGGAATAATAATTGCGGTAAAAGATGGTAAAAAGTAAACCTTTGGTTTCAAAGTTAATGGTAAAATCTGTTTCTATGTAAAAATTTTAATATAATGAAATGCAGGCTTTCAAATATCTAAATTATTTTGATCTTGGTTCTCGATTATATACATAAGCCGTAAACCTTAACAGCGTTAATGAATGGTAACATTTTATAGCGAACTACATCTTAACACCCTAAATGGCACTAGAAAGATCTTGCAAAATCTTGTCTAAAGCAAAAAACCATTTGAAATTGCAAAAATATAATGCAAAAAACTCCACAAATCATAAGTTTATAGATGACCTTACACTGCCGAATACAAAAAAAAGTAACCTCAAAAATTCCCAAGTTATTTTACGTTCTGCATTCAACAAATTAAAAATCTGCAGACAGTTGGAATGGAAAGCAAGAAGTCGTTGGTGAAAGAGAGTATGAGGAAAAAATCAGATTGGCAGACAAGGTGCAATTAGAGAAGAACTTACGTTAGACTTTTTCCACAAAGTTTGAATCTAATGCTACATTCAAGAAGGAGATATTTTTGCCAACAAGTATTGGTAAAATAAATATACTATTTTTTCCAAAATAGTCCTTAATTTTTTATTTTATAAGGTTATTTTGCAAATCCTCAATTTGTTATCCAATTTGTTATAACAATAACTAGAAGACAACAAACTTTGTGAAAGTGAGTACTGTCGTTAAACATTCATAGAGTACTGTAAAGAATTCATGTTAAAGGAAAGTGGAATGCTTCAGACAAAGCTAAGAAGCGGTCTGTTGTCCTGAAAATCTAACCTCTTTTCACCTCTCCATATAAGCAGCATCTAGGGAATCCTTGTTTGGAAGAAGAAGAAAAAGAAAGTAAAGTTCTGTTTCACAAAACTGTGCATCAGGAATGTATAACGGTTTTTGATGTCTTTTGTCATACACAGCAACATCGTTGAAGGATAATGCAGTGAAACAGCGTAAATTTAAAACATGAATGCCTTTGAACTACAAAAAAACAAAGCTCGAGAAAACTTACGGTCATCTCTCAGGTAACTCGCCAATGTGGTTTCAGGATCACAGTGTTCGACGATATGTTCTTTTCCATTAACGAAGATGGTGAATGTTGTACGGAACTTCATTGTCCCTAACAGAAAAGAAAAATCTGTGGCACAGAAAGCGGTTAACCGGTAAACCAAGCCAAGCGAACTGTCTTAACTACATGCAAGGAACTTCTCTGTCTCCATTAATAGGTTTCAAGTAACAATTTCGTGATATTTTACTAACTACTTGTTCAGCATGGTGAACAGATGCGATTATTTGCACTTTTTGCAAGTTATTTGCACTTTTTTCTGTTTGCCAGTAATGATTAAAGGAAAAAAAGGCACTAAGAAAATGTGTGCAAATTAAAAGTGACGGACGCAACCAATATTGGTACAGCAAAAGAAACGTGTTCAGGGCAATACAAATATATCATTATCAAAAAGTAATTCATCTGTGCTCTTAATGTCTATGTTGATTGTTAGCATTGTATGAATGTCTCGTGTTTAGGATTTGTTTACTGTTTATATGTTATAGTTTGAAGTTTGTGGGGAAAAAAATTGCATTTTCTTTTTCTGGTTCCCATCGTCTGCGACACGAAGTCAAATAATTTGAAGAATTTTATGAAATCTTGACCGAGACAAAACTGGAAAGAGCGTCAGTAGGAAAAGGACGAAGAGAAACAGGAAAAAGAGGAGAGAGAAAGAGTGCAGGAGCAACAAATCTCAGAAATTACCCTTAAGTTTGATGACACTAAAACTTGGTAGCTGTGCTTGTAGCAATATTCTGTTGCATGAAACGTATTCCTTAAATATTCATTGTAAGCAATTCAAGCTTTAAAGTGTTAGATGAAGTAACAGACGTTCAAAAATTCCTTCTTTCTATGGCAAAAACAGCTCAGACTCTTATATATTCAGCTCTCAGAAACTTCGTCACTGTTTCC